CTCACCACCGCCTCATGCCCATTACGGGAAGCCCAACAGAGGGGTATTCGGCAACCGCCGTCTGACTTGTCGGGATTGACACCGACCTGCGAGAGCAGAAGCCTCACCACCGCCTCATGCCCATTACGGGAAGCCCAACAGAGGGGTGTTAGGCCACCGTCGTCTGACTTGTCGGGATTGACACCAACCTGTGAGAGCAGGAGTCTCACCGCCCCCTCATGCCCATTCTGAGAAGCCAAACCGAGGGGTGTGCGACCACTGCCGTCTGACCTGGCGGGATCAACGCCACCATGTGAGAGCAGCAGTCTCAGCACTCCTTCATGCCCATTAATAGAAGCCCACTGGAGTGCAGCTGGGCCATCGTTGTCTAGCGAGCGGAGATCGATGCAATCCCGTTCCAGCAGCAGCTTCACCACCGCTTCATTCCCTTGCCCGGCGGCCCACACGAGCGGTGTGAGACCCATACAATCTCTCTGATTAATTTGGCATCCTTCCATCTCAATCAAAGCTAGCACGACCTCGAAAACCCCAAAGTAGGATGCGGCGTGTAAACTTGGGAATAGGTGATCTGGCAGTGAACAGCAATGGTGGTGTTGGTCTGTTTTGCTGAAAAGCAAGGTAGCGGATACATGATCCCCGGACCGGTTTAAGAGCTGCAGGGCAAGTGATTTCGCACGGTCCGAAAGCTCCATCTTTGCGTGCATTCCCCAATACAAGGATGAATATTCAAGAAAGGGCATGTCCGCAAGGTTCGGGATGTTCTTGGCAGGAAACACATTGACCTGTTCATAATTGAGATAGGCTAAGCAGTTTTCTGAGAGTGTGTTGTGGGCATTAGGGAGAATACCGGGCCGGGAAAGATATTCTTGAAGGGTATAGTGGATTAGCCGGACTGTCGATGTCTCACTGTCAACTACAGCAAGCCCTAAGCATGATCCCAGGACGATATCTTGCGGCCGGATATTGTCTGGGTCTATGTCCTGTTTCCCCATCTCTACTGCCAAGGCATGGCGGAGTTCATCAATCCGCAGCGGCCGCTCCGCATGAGATACCCACATTAACACCTCCATCCCAAGTCTTGATCGGTCTCCCTTCTGCTCCCTGATTCGCTGCAGTGTTTGGGAATAAACAGTGTCCATGTCCACACCGGTCGTCGCCACCTTTTGCAGCATCTCCTTTCTCTTCCCTAGCGACGTCTCGCCCAAGATTGCATCGATATTGAGTGCAACCAGCAGAAACCTTTGCCGACCATCAATTAGCTATCCAGATATCCGGATCTATAATCGAGCTGGTCCTACTTACATCTCCGAAGACCTTTCAGAGAGCGTTTTCATGATGTCGTTCTTAAGGCCCTCTGTCATCAGCTCCGGATCTTGGTCGTCATCGTCGTCCATCTTTTTCCTTATGTATCTAGTGATATCCCCTTTGTCGGCCACAATACGCATGATAAATGCCCGTTTCGCGAGATGCTTATCAAGTTCCTTCCGAATATAGGGCCTGCCTGTAAGTAAGAGCCGCGTATTTGTTGCATCTCGGCTAATCTGATTCAAGGCGCGAAGAAACTCTGATCGATGCTCTGGTGCTAGCTCATCCACTGCATCGAAGCAGAGGAACACCCGTTCGAAGGAACTGATTATTTTGATGAACAATCGCAGCATCTCAGGTAACAGAAGACTATTTCCACCCTCCCTCCTCGACTCCTGAAAGGCACTTCGAATTTCACCTGGAATCTCCGTCGCCCGTACAGCTACCTGTCTGAGTAGACCACCTATCATATTTACTGCCGTTTGAGCTTTCTGGGCCTGGTAATCGCAATAGAGGGATAAAACGGCGATATTCCGTCCACGAGTTCGCTCATATAGGCTGTCTATTACAAGCGAACTAATCCCATTGCCTGTTAGCATCGTGAAATATTTCTCGGGAATACCCCTTTACCTTATGTAGGTTTTGCCTACTCCTTGGCCCCCGTAACATAGCAATGTCGGATTCACCGATCCGTCCAGCCCGTCGCGCCATAACTCGAACTCGCTCTCCCGTAAAACCCAATCCCCAACACCACCAAGCCGACGGCTCCTCACATCATGATGCCTTCTATGCGGTTCGAGCGGGGACAGCCATGTCTGGATCTGCAAGGACTCTTCATTGACTTCCACATTGAATGTGTTGTAGCTGTTTGACACATTCCCGACGTTGGTGTTGGAGTCACCGCGGATATTGTTCATCATGTTATGCAGAAATGCAGGCAGTGTTTTCGCAGGAGATAACGTTCGATGATGGGTACAATAGAAGTAAGGCTGTATGGTGCGGGTAGAGTGGTTTAAGTGATAAGATGGATTGATGGACTCCTCCCTCTCAGCAAAGCAAAGCGGGGTCAGCCTTCTTATACCATTCACTTAAATTTAGCAAGAAAACCCGTCAGATCCCATTGGTTGGGAAATATGCAATTGAAAGAGTGAGACCTCAGCCTCGCTTTCGGACCTTGCCGGAATGGGGACAGGGAAATCTGACGAACGTACCGAAGAATAGGAGACAAACACCGCATAATAAATGGTTATTTAAATTCTAACTACTTTTTACAGTCAGTGGATTTTTCTGGTCACTCAATCGGCCTTGCCTAACGCACTCATACGAGTAGCGCATTCTCCGTTGTGTTTTGCGCCAAGAATTTCCAAGAAATTACTAAAGCCTCATCCCCAGTCCTAGCCCACCCGCTGCACATGTCGGACAAGAAGTTGGAGGCTTGAGGATATTTCAAACTCTTGTTAATTCGTTAAATTCAATTTTTTCTTCATGTTTCTTAAGGAATAGACCGACTGATAAGAGTCTGGGTATGTTGGATTATTTCTTGCCCATTGTTAGTATCCGAAGGGCATGCATAAGTTTGCCCGTTATAAAGTTGGATTGAAAAGATTTTATTTCCTGGTGCTCACTTGTTCACACCCTATTGTTTACACGCAGCCCCCCCCCCTGCACTTTATAGCTAGGGTATCTACTAGCTGGTAGGATGAGTATGATGCAGATTTTATCTAGCATTTGGATACTGCAAGAACGCGAGCTGAAGCCGCATCTCTTCGGCTATTGGAATTCCCGGCAGTAAACTAGGGGAGAATACAGTGACTCTGTCCTCGGTTGTAGTAAATTAAGTAAATATGCACGGCTCCTCGCTTGGAAAAATAACCCCAGATTCTCTCATATATATCGCCCGCTCACCTCACCTCATTAACGTCCCTTTTTTTTAGCGCCTCAGCACCGGGAATGAGAAGATTTCCGTGCAGTGGCTTGAGTACTCTATCGGAGTTCGTACAGTGTTCCTACATGAAGGTGGCTCACTCGGTGGCTAGGCCATCACTTAGACGGAAAATATATTCGTGAAAAGCACTCACGAAATAAATACTACCGTATCATGTTGGATATGAGAACAATTCCAGGGGAAACACGCAACCCGCAGGAATTTCTTTTTTTTTCACCTATTCCCCAAAACTCGAGAAAACCCCGCAAAGACATTTATGAAGGGAGAAACAAGGGGCTGAGTACTAGTCGCCAAAAACCTGGAAAGAATACCGTATCTCCAATGCCTGGACATTAGAGCCGCTAATCAGCGAGGGCATATACCAATTAGGGCAACGCAAAATGTCCCAAAATGGCAGTTAGTAGAGTGCCATACATTGTACAGGTAGAGCGGAGGTCATGGACAGCACTAGTCTATCAGTAGATTAGTCCTTCAGTATCATGGGTAGCGAATAGAAAAGCAACGCGCGGTAGCAGATTGGAATTAACCGGATGATCAATTATGAATAGTATGCCGCCACATTACCCCAGGCAAGAACAGGTTATCTCGGCCGTGCAAGCTCCCTCTAATTAGCGTAATGTACCATCCGGTTTTGTAAGTACAGTACTGTCGGGTCTTCTTTGACTCTCGGTGTCCTTTGGCGGTTATGGCAAAGTAAACCTATCAGCACCCACTGGTACCGAAGAGCTGTGCAAATCACTGGAGAACAGCCGGCGAAGAGCGAAACCGGTAATGGCAATATTAGTAGTGATAGAGAAAGTCAATAGAAGGCAATGCAACCTTGTTCAACGATTAATTTATATCTTCAATTATACATCTATGAAAAAGACTTCCCTGTAAGAAATAAAGGACAAAAGAATGAGAGAAATGAAAACCCAGTGATGCCTGTTTCTCGCCCCTCACATTCCTACTTCATCCCTTTTCTGTGCTCAACCCCTTACTAACCCCTTTTCCATTGTGGTCGTCCATAGAAGGGGGTAGAAACTTCCAACTAGCAAATGAAAGCTGGACAATAACTGTTGTCGTTATCTCCAATCTATATCCTCTGATCCCCTAACAGTACTATTGAACAGGTGTATGGACTCATGAGGGTAGAACATTGACATTCGTAATCATGTCATATAGCTTGTTTGCTATGGATTCTATGGGATTCCTTAGTGAATCCTTGTGTATAAGGGGTTGAGTTGACCAGATGGGCTAGCACATTTTCTCCCTTTAGGGCCGCCCTCCATGGCTCATGAGAGCTATCCACAGGACTCGTCCAGCTTGGCGAAGGTGGCCGGGACTGTTTTTCGGCCCACGTCACAGGCCGCGCACCCTGACACACTCAAAATCCCCGACAAAACCCGTGAGGAGCGCGCCCAAATTAGCAATATTTCTCCCAATCCCTATACCTACCCACAATGCACCCGAGTAGGCTATAGTGCCATACTCCCCACGTGCAGCCCCGGTAGATGACAAAGTGAAAACACTACTTCAAAACACGGCTTGCACTGGGAGCAAGAGAGGACCACATACTAAGCTTGAATAGCCCAGAAATCGCGCGGTACACCAAACACGACAGCAGGAAGAGGGAAACAAGGTAACTGAATTTAACAGGCGGAATTATTTGAAAGTTGTGTTGTGAAGCTTGAGCGGTATGATATCTTAAGTGGACAGTCTCGTAAAATGGTTTAATCAAAGAAATTGAGTGGTCACAATGTAGTCTCAAAACAAAAGACCTGACCTTACCCAGCTAGGAATGTTATAGTTTATACGTGCTATAAAATCTGAACCTGGACTTAGGGCTCCGTATCCCGCATGCATAATATCGTGCGGAACCTTGGTATCATGCCACAAGCTACGAGTGTTTTCGAAACCAAGTTAAAAGCCAGGACAGAAATCCTTAGATTGTCCTTACATAATAGAGATCCCTGACTGACCCTGAAGTGCGGTATCATACTTTGGTAGGGTATTTCAGCACCACAAGCACATTCAACAATAAGTATAAGAAAGATACCCCAAACCTTGAGGGACCACGGGGGGTTGTAGGGGGAGGAACCAAAAAAGGGAAATACCGTTGTCAACTAACTTAGGGAAAAAATCCATTAATATTTCCCGGCATCTGAGTTGTCAGTGAATGTGTCGCGACATCAACTAGCGTGGCGAGATACACTCAAGGAGGCCAGGTAAGAGAGCAGAGGAGATGATAGCACTATCTAGAGCTTAGCCATCGATCGTGTTACAGATGGGGAAAGCGGGGCAGAGATCGCCTGGGCGGGGAAATGCACACTATACACGTGAAACACTAATCCAGATAAGAACAGCCTACCTCGGGTGCCCATGTTCCCTTTTTTTTTTCTAAGTGCCTCCTTGTTCTTTGGCCTTGGGATCTGCCGCCACCTTCGAAACACGGAGGAAAACTAGATATCCTGGGCCAAACTGTCCCCATCCGGATGAGCATTTTTCACCCGACCCGAGTGCAGAACACATTCCTCAACAACACCTCCGTGTCCACCCACAACCACCTACTCCCTAACGCCTAATCCCATCCAACCCATGGAGTAGAAGTCCCCGCGGTCCCATCAAGAACTTCACACTTTGCCGGTAGCCCCCGATCATCTGAAAGAGTGATGTCCAACCATGAAATTTAACCCTACGTCCTCTCGCACCCGCCAATGGTGGCCCACGAGTAGTAAAACCTCCAACCCCAAGACCTGCTAGCCACACATAGTTCAGGAACACTTCCCCCGAGTTCCTGGGAAATCGAGAAGATGATAGATGATAACCATAACCAGCCCCGCAGAAAAGAACAACCCGCGGAGAGAACTATAAGTACCTAACTATCGGTATAAATTGATAATATAAGCACAACACGAGTGGAAAATTCAAAGACCCACTAAGCACAGCATCCCTCGCCACGCTAAAGCCTCAAGAAAGGAGACAGCATCCAACACTTGACTAATGTTCCGTGCCACACCCAATGCCAATCTAGCCGGAGAGGAGGAAAGGGCTATGGAACCCGCTACCGGACCGAATTGTGTTCCGCTTTGTACTTGCAATGGCGCGAGTGCGAATTGGTGACCACTTAAACTTCCTTAGGACTTGTCTAGTTAATACATTGCCCTAATAATAGCAAATACTCTGCGTACAAGACATCTCATTTTCTTCACCGCATGAGCCCCTAGTATCCTAGAATGTTATCTTCCCTTGGCGCTTCTAACAAGGGTAGCGCTCGGGTAGTAGTACGAGTGACGGGCTGAGGGCGTGTTCCTTGGGTATTACCCATAGTGAAAGGTGGAGGGGGAAGAGGGGGTAAAAGAGTGCATTACCTGAAGTTTCTCTCAAGAATGGCAGAGCGAAGGAGGGGGTTTTCTAGGTTGTTAAAGCGTATCGGCTTCAGTAGATCAAGTTCTACCGCTCCCTTCTAAATCAACCAAAGTTTCACTCCACTTCGCTGCCACCTCTTGCTCCTACGGGATGGCTACCCTCCTGTACCATATATCTCTCTTCCCTGACTCCGCTCCCCTATCCTCATACCTATCGAGATTTTTCAAACAGTGCGCCGAACCCATGTCCCCGGAATCTGATATGATACCGCATGGTTGAATCTTCATATTCCATCACTCACAGTAACCAGCCTCCCCCCCAAAAACAAACAAGAAAGGAAGAAAGGAAGGAAGAACCACAAGTCCAAGTAAAATTCATAAACGATATTAGTATGAGAGGTGCCCACTTCCTCTGACGTTCTTGTGCGGGCGGCGACAGACTCTGAAAACGGACCCACTA